GTATTCAACATTATTCAAGCACAAGTAATAGAACAAAGTCAAACTAGAGTCTTGGACTTTAAGAATGCTAATTTCAATAAACTTAGAGAGAGCTTGGGAAGGATTCCATGGATGAGAATCCTCAAGGGGAAAACAACTCAAGAAGCTTGGGAAATTTTGAAAAGAGAGATTATAAAAGCCCAGACTAGCACAATACAAATGAAGAAGAAAAATAACAGGTCTCAAAAGAAACCAGCATGGCTGCATAAATAACTCTCTGATAAATTGAAAGACAAAAAGGATAAGTATAAAAAGTGGAAAGAGGGGCACATAACTAAGGCAGAATATCGGCAAACAGCCCGAGCCTGTAAAGATGAAATGAGGAAAGCTAAGGCTCACAATGAAGAAAAGCTTGTGACAAAAGTAAAAAATAACAAAAAAAAGCTTCTTCCACCATGCCAAAAACAAGAAAAACATCAAGGAAACAATCAATCAATGAGTATGTGGCGACGCTCCGGAAAGCCGCAGTGTACTGCGAGTTCCGTGACCTTGATGAACTGATTCTGGACCGCATAATTTGCGGCGTGCAAGACATTACCCTACAGAGGAGATTACTCGCATTGGACAAGGCCAGGGTGTCTGAATCAGCCGGCAAATCAATGGAAACTCTACAGCGCCAAAGCATACCTCAAGATGCATGGAAAAGTACCCGTGTACATCGTGAGACTGTTGAGCCCGAGGGCTCAGAAAGCGAGGAGGATGACAGCTAATACATGTGCAGTAGCAGCACCAAGCCGGCGCGAAAATTCAATTCGCAATTTCTTCCCTGACCAGCTGTGGAGGAGACCATGCCCAACTGTACTGCCGATTCCACGAAGCAACTTGCCAGCGTTGCAAGCGGAAGGGGCACATCATCCAGGTGTGCTGCAGTGATTTCCCTACCACCACCAGGCAGCCCAAAAATAACAAAGCCGTCAACAGAGGCAAAAACCAGGCACCTGGCAGAAGTACCCACGGCAGTCAGAAGCTGACAATAGAGTCGCTTATCATACATCAATAAGACAAGTCTGCTCTAGATGATCCAAAAAGCTGAAGGTCTCTGTCAACATTGAGGACTCTCCATGTGAGATAGAGATCAACACTGGGTCATCACTGACCATAATGCCATGGTCAGTCCTCAAGCAAGCAATTCCAAAACTACAGAAGCAGCACCTCCGAAACCCTGACATCCGCCTGTGCGATTACCATCGTGGGCCAAGGCACCTTCTGGGTGAACTATAAACATTTCTGCAAAAACCTCCCCGTGACGGTGGTCAGTAGCAACCTACAGAGCCTCCTTGGGCTTGATTGGTTCCAAGCCTTGAGTATGGAAGTGACTGGAATCAACTCAGTGAAGGAGTTGGCGCTGAAGCCATCTTTAAGGAGTTCGAGGATGTTTTTGGCAACGGTCTTGGTAAGTACAAGGGAACTCTAATCTCTTTTAGCTTGGACCCCAATATAGCCCCAGTTAGGCTAAAACCCAGGAGAGTACCTTTTGCTCTCCATCCTAAAATTGACAAAGAAATTGACAAGCTCGTGAGCCAGGGCATCCTAGAGCCAATCAATCATGCACGCTGGGAGACTCCTATTGTGTCACCTGTCAAATCTGACAAGTGTGTCTGCATCTGCGCGGACTATAAGTGCACAATTAATAAGGCGTTACAACAAAGCGCCTACCCTGTACTCATTATACAGCACCTACTACATTTGCTTGGCCCAGGGAAAGTTTTTGCAAAATTGGATATGGCACAGGCATACCAACAATTGCCAATAGATGGCGCTACCATGGAGACCCAAACCATTGTGACACACAGGGGTGCATTCAAATGCCACCGCCTTCAATTGGGAGTTAGTATCGCCCCGGGACTGTTCCAAAGCGTTATGGAACGGCTTTTGCAGGGGATTCCAGGAGTCGTCCCCTATTTCGATGACATCTTGGTATTGACTGCAAATGAGGCACAACTTTTAAAAAGCGTATGAACAGTTTTGGCCAGAATTAGAGACAAGGGTCTCTGCCTCAAAAAAGAAAAATGCCAGATTAATGTACCAAAGGTTGAATTCCTAGGGTACCTGATCGATGGGTCTGGAATTCACCCAACCTCACAAAAAATTTAAGCTATTCAGAACGCCCCCACACCTCGCAATCAGACCAAACTGCAGGCGTTCCTTGGGCTCCTTAATTTCTACAGCGTGTTTCTCAAACAGAAAGCCACCATTGCTGAACCNTGACCTCAATACCAGGGAAGATCCTGGAAAAGATAATCAAGCAATGAATTAGTGAACACCTAGAAGCAAAGAAAATAATTTGTCAAAAACAGATCATGCCAGACTAATCTTATTGCATTCTTTGACAAAGTAATAAAATTAGTGGACCAGAGGAATGCTGTCGATATAATTTACTTGAACTTCAGTAAGGCATTTGTTAAAGTAGACCATAACCTACTATTAGATAAAGTAGAAAAATATGGGTTAGACAGCATCACCACCAGATGGATTCATAATTGGCTGACCAACTGCACTCAACATGTACTCAATGGAACTGCATCTATAGTACTACTTGAGCATCCAAGGCTCTATTTTAGGCCTAGTATTCTTCAATATCTTCATCAATGATTTGGACAAGGAGATAAATGGGGAACTCATCAAATTTGCAAATGACACCAAGCTGGCAGGAATAGCCAACACTCCAGAAGGATCTTGACAACTGTGAACATTGGGCGCTATCTAACAAAATGAAATTGATGAAAAAAAGTAAGGTTCTACATTTAGGTAAGAAAAACAAAATGCTTACTTAATAGTAGTAACTGTGAGAGGGATCTTGGAATCCCAGTGGACAACCATTTAAATATGAGCCAGCAGTGTGCAGCAGCTGCCAAAAAAGCCAACACAGTTCTAGACTGCATAAATAGAGGGATAGACTCAAGATCACATTCAGTATTAATATCACTTTACAATTTCTTGGTAAGGCCACACTTGGAATACTGCATTCAGTTTTGATTGCCACTATGTAAAATATGTGGAAACTCTAGAAAGAGTACAGAGAAGAGCAACAAAGATGATTACGGGACTGGAGACTAAAACATATGAAGAACGGTGGCAGAAACTGGGTATGTCTAGTTTAATTAAAAGAAGGACTAGGGGNGCAATCAGACCAAACTGCAGGCGTTCCTTGGGCTCCTTAATTTCTACAGCGTGTTTCTCAAACAGAAAGCCACCATTGCTGAACCATTACATCGCCTCCTGGCCAAGAACGCGAAGTGGTCTTGGGCAAAGCCGAGACTGTCGCGTTTGCCGCAGTAAAACGACTCCTGTAAATGGATTCCTTCCTAGTTCAATACAGCCAAACCCTACCATTGGTG